CCCCGAACCTCTCGGAGTCTCCGACCCCCGCTTCCCCCTCCTCGGAGCCCTCAGAGCCCCCGACCCCCCTGGGGGCCCTCAGAGCCCCTGACCCCCCCTTCCCTGTCAGAGCCCTTGGAGCTCTCAGAGCCCCCGGACCCCTCTTCCCCCCTTAGAGCCCTCGAGCACCCGACCCCTTCCTCCTCCCGCCCCCCTCAGAGCCCCTGAACCACCCTTCCCCGCCCTGCCCCTCCCCCATCACCCCAGTCGTTTCACTCCCAATCGGCCACGGACCCAAGCCGACCTCCGAACATGCAGCGCATGCAAAAAGGAAGCCCTGAAAACGGCATCGTGCATCTAAACGGAAGCCTTAGAGCCTAAATCACGCCTGGCACTGGTGGAAGCTTACTACGCGGATCAGTCGATCACGATGACCTCCTCTGTCTTGAACGAACAACCTGCTGTCGTCATGATGTTGTTGATCGCGGGCTCCTCGTGCATAGTGGACGCCCGATGCTTCTTTGTGGTCAGCCACACTCCGCACGCCCCATTCTGCATTTGGGCCTCTTCTCGATTCTGATTGGCGCGAACCAAATGCTATCCCGAAGAGATGGCCCGTGCGCGAAGAGATCGCTCTGCGCCGCCCGCGTCTCGCGGGTCTCTGTCGCCACCTGCGGACTCGGGGCCTCCTCGGAGGACATCGTCGGCGAGCCGGGCGTGCTCATGGCACCGCCGCTGCCCGCAAGTGGGCCGAACGCGCACCCACCCCCATCACCACTTGGAAACCAGATCGCTACGGACGGAGGAGGAGGCTCCAGCAGGGTTCGGCCTTCTACCACCCTGGCCTAGGCCCTCTTGGAGCCGTCTCGGGGCCCTCCGGGTGGGGCCCTTCAGGTCAACAGGCCCGAAGTGGCTTGCAGGATCCCAACTGTTTTTGGTCTTCCCTCTTGGATGCCCTCTCGGAGGCTCATGATGATGGGCCCTGCTTGAGGCCCTCTTGGAGGCTCATGGGCCGCTTGGGGCCCTTTTGGAATTCCTCCGCTTGGAGGCCATCCCCCTTGGAGGCCCTGGAGACCCTCCCCTCCTGGTGGCCACCCCTCTTGGGCCGCTGAGGCCCAATTGGTGGTCATCCCTCTTGGAGTTCCTGTTGGAGGCCCTCCCCTCTTGTGGTCTTGAGGCACCTAGCCGCTGGCAACAACCCCTTCCTCCTCCTCCTCCTCCTCATCCTCCCCCCCCCCTACCTCCTCCCCCCCCTACCTCCTCCTCCTCCCTACCTCCTCCTCCTCCTCCTCCTCCTCCTCCTCCCTCCCGCCTCCTCCTCCTCCCTACCTTCTCCTCCCTACCTCCTCCTCCTCCTCCTCCTCCCCCCCCTCCCCCTCCTCCCCCTCCCTGCCCCCTCCCTGCCCCCTCCCTTCCCCCCTCCTACCTCTGCTTCTTCCCTGGCCCTCCTCCCAGGAGCATGCGTGCAGGTGGTGGCTGGTTGATGATGGTGATGATGGTGGTGATGATGACGACGAGTTTTTTACGCCTATGGGCAACACTTGGTCAAAGCAGATGCACGCGAACGAGTGGGCGTTCGTGCGGATGGAGAGGCCGCGGGCGTCGGTGCATTTGTTGGTGAGGGTCTTGGGCGGCACTGCCGCGAGCGTGGACGTGATGGCAGCGGCCTCGCGCGCGGCCGTGTCCTGGTCGCGCCACGACCCGAGGACCGCCATCCTCCGCCACTTCAGCCGATGGCCGTCCATCCACGCCCAGTCCTCGCCGCGGCCGCCCCTCGTGCGCCGCTGCCGCCGCTCGTCGTCGCCCGGCGCGACGAGGTACCAGCCTCCTTCCCAGCGCCAGCTGGGGTCGGAGGTAGATCCGATGTAGCATCTACCGCCGACCCTAGCTTCTCGGCGCGCCACCCCCCTTGCCCGCTCCAGGAGCGTCTCCAGAGGGATCTCGAGCCAGCGCGATGCTGGCACTTCCAAGGCCCGCGGCCATTTCTCCAAGGACTGAGCCATGGTCTCGATGGCGCCGCACCTTGCATCTTGCCAGCGCTCGGATACTGGCGGAAGGTGGTCGATGGGCGTCTCGCGGACCAAGCGGGCCCCATCCGCCCCCCGAGGCATCATCATGTTGCCGCCGCCGCCGCCGCTGGCCGCCGCTGGCCGCCGCTGCTGGCCGCCAGCAGAACGCGAGCGCGAAGGCCGCCGCCGCCGCCTGGCGGCATGCTGCCGCTGCTGGTCGTCGAGTCGCAGGCCGGCGTGGCGTTCGGCCGCGCTCATGGGCGCCTCGGCGGCGACGCCGCCAGCAGCAGGACGACCGAGAGGAGGTCGTTGACAGAGACGATCCGCGACAGCAGCGCGAGCAGGAGGAGGAGGTCGCCGTCGACAGGGATCCGCGACAGCAGCAGGAGCAGCAGGTCGTTGACAGAGATCCGCGACCACAGCAGCAGCAGCAGCAGCAGAGGCAGCAGCTCGCTGTTGCTGCTGGTCCCACAAGATAGGCCGCCCCAGGAGGCGGGCAAGGGCCAAGTAGCCATCGGCGTCAGGACGAACGCCACCTCCTCCGCCCGCACCTCCAGCGCCTCCAGCACCAGCATGAGGAGGTGAGGCTCCAGCACCTCCAGCACCAGCACCTGCAGGAGGAGGTGAGACTCCTCCTGGAGCACCAGCGCCAGCATCTGCACGAGCCGCTGGAGCCGCCGCACCTCCAGCACCAGCACTTGCAGGAGGAGGTGAGACTCCTCCTGGCGGAGCCCCCCCTGCACCTCCTGGCAGCGCCGCTGCAGCACCTCCTGCGTCTCCGCCGGCACCTGCACTTGGTGGGCTGAAGTTGGCGGGGCGACGAGGTCTGCATCCACCCCTCCTGCTGGTCAGGCCCGCCGCCATCCAGGGCCAAGCAGCGGCGTTGTTTATGCCTCCCTGCTGGCAAAAAAAAAAAACCAGCAGGGGGGCGCATGCAGTAGACGCCGCTGCTTGGCCCAGCCAGGATGGCGGGCGTGGCCAGCAGGGGCAGTGCTGAGCTCGTCGCCCCAGTGCGTGCGCCAGCAGCCCCAGCGCCCGCTGCGGCCCGACGCGCGGCGTCGGCGGCGCGCGCTCCCTCCCGCCGCCAGCCGTCGCCGCCCACCTCCTCGTCGCCCCCGAAGAGCTCCTCCAAGAGGGCCTCGCTGGCGGGGCGAGCGGGCGAGCCAGTCAGGGCATCCGCGAGACGCCCCATGCTGCGGCCGCGCGCGTGGCCGCCAAGATTGAGCCAAAACGGCCACGGAGTAGCTCGCTCTGAGGAGGGGCTTCTTCTCGTGCTTCTTCAGTGCGCACCAGCAACGGGAAGCACGCAGCAAGTGACCAAGAAGATAGTTCCGAAAGGGCACCGGGAGTGCCCCGACAGTCGGAGGAAGCCTTTGCGCGGATATTCAAGACGGCCCGAGACGGCCTAGAGGGGCCAATGAGGCTCCAAGAGGGCCTCCTAGCAGTAGGGAGTCCACGATGCCAAGGCGTTGCACAGAATTGTGTGTGTGTGGGGGGGGGGGGGTCGACGACGGTGCCAGAATGTGTCCATAAAGCAAAGATCCCGATCAGCTGACTGCGCATCGAGTGTTGGATTGCCCCAGTCCTCCCACCGGGGGGCTGTCAGGGCATCATCTTCTCTCGCACGTGGAACCTGCGTTTTTGTTGCCAGCGTGTGTTGCGTGATGCTTGTTGCTGGCTTTGTTGCCAAGATGCTAACCAAGTAAGAAGAACCCCTAAGTTGCCTTAAGTGAAAGCACTGTTTGGGGAACCTGTGCTGAGTAACTGCAAGGGCTCCAATTTTAAGTGCAATCACTGTTTATTAGCACGTTTGCTTTGCAGGGCTCCAACTTTAAGCACTTTAAGTGCAAGCACTGTTTAATACGACTGCTATGAAGGGCTCCAACTTGTTACCATGTATTGCAATTTACATGTAAACGCATACGTGAATGTTCCATTTCTTCTCTTGCCCATGTGTGCGCACAACAGAACGGGGTGTAAACGCATTTGTGATTGCCCGGACCTCGACTGGCAGCCCAAACGCCAGCCCGCCTGCCTTTTCTGGCACAAGTAAGAACCCATGTAAGCGCACGTTTCTTTACAGGGGGGCAGCACTGGACATGCATAATACCCCGACGGAAGGGGGGCCAGTGGAGGTCAAAGAGGGGCGGAGGTGGAGGAGTTGGACAAGGAACAGGACTCGCCAGGATCGGGATTGGCAGCCCATTCCTCGCTCCTCCTGCTCTTCTCTGCTCCTCCTGGCTCCTCCTCCTCCTCCTCATCAGCCCCCTCCTCCTCATCATCATGCTCCTCCTCCTCATCATCATCATGCTCCTCCTCCTCCTCCTCATCATCATCATCATCATGATCCTCCTCCTCCTCCTTCTCCTCTTCCTGCTGCCCCTGCAAAAAAGAGGAGGAGCTGCATTGGGCGCGATGCGCGGTCCATCTGCGGGTGCACCTGCAGGGTCAGCAGCAGGGGCTGCGGCTCCAGCTGCCTCTCCCCCATCAGCCTCTGCGGGTGCACCTGGCACTGGCTCATCAGCAACCTCCTCATCTTCGCCATCATCATCAGCTGGTCCACCAGGAACTGGTTCGCCGATCGCTGCGGCTCCACCTGCCTCTTCTCCATCAGCAGCCTCTTCTTCTTCGCCACCATCATCATCAGCTGGTCCACCAGCGATCGCGCCCGGCATGTCGATGTTGTCGGCGGCGGTTCCTCCTGCTGCTGCTGCAGGCCTCTTAGCTGATGCTGGTCGCCGGAGTGCCGCCGCGGGCCTCTTCATCACACCTCCTTTGGCTTTGGCTTTGGCCTTGGATTTGGCCACCACCACCCCCTTGGCTTTGGCCTTGGCCTTTCTGATGACGCTGATCACGCGAACTGGTGCTGCGTGGATGTTCCCACTGGCAAGCTTCTCCTTCAGGTGGTCTGGCAGTTCGTCGACAGTGCCTAGCGAGCTCTTGATCTTGTGCGTGAATACGAAAGTTGGGTGTGGCATGCTCGCCAACTCGGTCGCCCGCTCAATTGTCATTTTAGCTCCATGCGTCGCATGGTCCGTCCAAGAACGCTTTGCCGCGCAGCATGTTCCACGGCGGGGCTCCAACTGCCTCGGCAGCGCGACGGTATTGCTTGACCACCCCCTCCTCGAACACGCGCGGCATCGCCACCTGCAAGTCAGATGGGTCGAGCCTGCTGGCGATCTGGGTCGGCATGAGGAGGACTGGTTGCTGGCAGTAGTTGGTGTCTGCCATGAACTGCTTGACCAAGATAATAGTGTCCTGCTCGTTGGGCTCTAAGTCGCTCCAATCTGGCCGCGTGATCTCCACAGCTGCGTCTGTCAGCCCTGCGAGCCTGATGAATGACCGTGGGACGAAGCGCCACAGATGTGCAGCTTCCGGCTGAGTCTTGGTGGGCACCACGCCTGCGATGGACATGTCGAAGGGGGTCATCCACGTGCGAAAGTCGTAGATGCTGTTAAGAACCTCCACGTGTAATTTCCTTCCACGCTGTGGAACGACAATGCTCTTGATGAAGTCAGCAACCTCCTGGATGCCCTCCAGCCGTGGGGCGTGCGAGATCTGGGCGGCAACACCGGCGAACAATTGATCTAGCTCAGCATGGGCATGTCCCACTTGGAGGAACTGCATCTCGACGGTCTTGAACCTCGCTCCCGCATTCAATTCAAGCTAATAGTCACATCAACAACAGGCGCTGCAAAAAGTTTACCCCAGTGCGACCCTACCTAGGAGTTGGAGCCCCTAAGAAAGCAGCATTTAGTAGTAACAGTAAAGCTAAGCTAAAGCTAAGCTAAAGCGAAGCTAAAGCTAAGCTAAAGCTAAGTTGAATATAAGCTAAAGCTAAGCTGAAGCTAAGCTGAAGCTAAGCTGAAGCTAAGCTGAAGCTAAGCTGAAGCTAAGCTAAAGCTAAGCTAAAGCTAAACTCAAGCTAAGCTAAAGCCAAGCTAAAGCTAAGCTTAAGCTCAGCTGAAGCTGAGTTAAAGCTAAGCTAAAGCTAAGCTAAGCTTAAGCTAAGCTCAAGCTAAGCTAAAACTAAGCTAAAGCGAAGCTACAGCTAAGCTAAAGCTAAGCTAAAGCGAAGCTAAAGCTAAGCTACAACAGCTAAGCTGAAGCTAAGCTAAAGCTAAGCACAAGCTAAGCTACAGTTAAGGTAAAGCTAAGGTACTTAAGGTACAGCTAAACTAAATATACGGTAAAGCTAAGGTACAGCTAAGGTAAAGCTAAGGCAAAACTAAGCTAAAGCTAAGCTAAAGCTAAGTTAAAGCTAAGCTAAACCTGAGCTAAAGCTAAGCTGAAGCTAAGCTAAAGCTAAGCTAAAGCTAAGCTAAAGCTAAGCTAAAGCTAAAGCTAAGCTAAAGCTAAGCTAAAGCTAAGCTAAAGCTAAAGCTAAGCTAAAGCTAAAGCTCCCAGGGAACTGGGGGAACCGCAGGGAGGACGCCGGGGGAACCGCCCAGGGCGGGGAGCGCTGCCCGGCCCTTTGAGCCCACAGGGTAAGAAAGAATCCTTCTCACCAGTGCAATAACGAAATCGAGAATCATGCTCGCAAGCACTTGGGTGATCTCACACATGCATAAGCACGAACACTGCAATAACTAACAACGCGCTGCCTCGCGACAACACTGAGCACACATCCTTCCCCAAGCTGCAAAACAAACGGCACATCCCTGGTGGGGCCGCTCAGTGGCGCGCATCCACGCGAGCAGACCGAGGAAATATTGGTTCTTCGCCTCGCGGGAGGTGTTGTCCGCGCTGACAATCAGATGTTGGGGAAAATGATCGTCGCCCACGACCTCGTTCGCGAGCTCCTGCGCCGCCCCCCCCCAGGTCGGCTTCCACCGTGCGATTGGCTGGAGGCCACCAAAGCGATCGTCAAGACACGACAAAACCTGATCCTTCTTCCTCATCCTCCCCTCCTCCCTCCTCCTCGCCCTGTCTGCAGCTAAACAAAACAAACGAACTCCTCCCTCCCTCCTCCCCCCCCCCCTCCCCCTCGCCCTGTAGCTGCAGCTTGCACTGCGCGGGAACAGTTTGCCAGATTGTCAGAGCACACCATGGCGAGCTCATGCTTGCGCGAACACATGCGACGCATCATGCAAACACATGCGCACAGACCGCTACCATACGATAGCTAGCGGAAATCAAACACTGCATGCACGCGCAATTGCCCCCATCCCCTGTGTTCCAGCATCCGTAGAATAAGCGTCGCCTCCATGTTTGAATCAGAGGGGCATTGAGGTCCAAGCACAAAGTAGATTTCCATCAGCCCGTGAATAATCCCACCGCATATGTGTAATTGCGGCCTCCACATGCCGCTGAACTCAGAGGAGCCCTGCCCGGCCCAGCCATCAGATAGGTGGGAGAGTGGCAAAAGCACGCTGTATGACACAACACTCTACCAGCACTGCGTGATTACCTGCATGGACACACTGCGACCCAACGAGCACATAGGATGGGTGAGGCAGGCGTTCGTCGTCTGAACAATCCCCAGTGGTTTCTCATGGAATGACTTATCGGGCTCGAGTCTGCGAGGTCGTTGAGCAGACAACAACCGACGCATGTCATTCCCCAGTCCCTGCACGCGCAAGTATCGTCTTCCAACCAACCTCTAACTCTCGACCTGCTGTTGCACGTCTGCCCTGGCCCCGCCGCGCAGCGTGGAGTCTTGAATTTCGCCTGGTCCATCCCGTCCACCGCGACCTTTATGATGGGCGAGAGGCCGTGGGGCGTCGGGTTCCGAGCGTTCATCTCAGCGATAGCGTTGCCCCTAACATTGACAGCCCGGTCGCGCATCACGCTGTCAATATGTTTCTTTTTCTCATTCATCACAACTGCCTTGGCCTCCTCCGCGACCGCCAGCGCGCGCTCCTCGCCCAGGCGGCTGCAGATGGTGCAGCGTTTACCCTGCCCCACATTGCGATGCACCAGGATGCGTTTCCATGCGTCATTGTACCGCTTCTTGAACGTTGATTCACTAACCTGCATGGTACTTGAATCCTAGCACACAGCCCTCCCCCAAATAACCAACCCTTTGATCCAGATGCTCATGAATATCGATAGCGCTTTTTGGATAGCGCTTTTCGGATGGCCCGGGACCTGTTGGAGAGTCGGCACATCAAGCTTGCACCCCTGCCAGAGCGACTCGACAATGCCAGGATCCAAGTACCTTTTGGGAACAGCGTGCTTACCACCTCCAACTTCAATGGCCAGATTGCACAGAACATGGACGTCCTCAATCAACGCATTCTCCTCACCATCTAGGCTCAAAGAAACATCTGGCTTTTCCGGAGTGGGCATCGTGTCGCCAAGTTCGCGGTGCAATTTCACGAAGTATGCGTCAACCTCATACTTCTTAGTGTCAGACTTGCGTCCTGGCATCTTGGGCAAGGGAGGGGGTGGGCAACAATGCCCGTGTTTCAGCAAGTCTTTGTACTTGTCAACTGTCCCATGCGAGCAGGCGCAAGCCCAGCACCAAAACGGTTTGCGCGCACTTTGCCCATTGAACTGCCAATGCACGTACTTCACTATGCCACCTGTCCCGTCTGCGCACTGTGCCGACACCTTTTGGAAGAGATGTGCCGCCCTGTCCTTCTCTCCGAGGGATTCCATATGAGTGCGGTTGGCATCGACAGCTGCTTGGTCTATAGTGTCGTCGCAATTCTTCTTGCACTGGTACTTGGCGTCAACAATTGGCAAACCCACTACCTCCCAAGCCCTTCGTGCATTCGCAGTTCAACAGCATGTCCGAAACATGCAAGCACACCCCCCAGTCAACATCAATGCGCAACAAGGGGAAACGTATTGCCTGCGCTCTCGTGGCAACGTCAACGATGCCACACAGAAGTAGACAGACACATAGCATGAAACATGACCATGGCATTGCTGCGCATCCCCTTCCCCCCCCCCCCCCCCCCCACTTCATCAGCAGGTATGTCAGCTCCGTCCTCCTCCACGTCCGATGGCAGGTCGCATGCCGGAGAGTTGTCCATCATACCTTCATGATCTTGGCGATCGTGGTCCTCATTATCTCCCCCCCTTCCCCTGCTCTGTTTCCTGCTCCACCTCCTCTGCCTCCGCCTCCGAAGTGTTCCTCGTCCTCCTCCTCCCCTCCTCCTCCCCCTCCTCCCCACATCCCCCCTCCTCTACAGCCGGAGGAGGAGGAACAACAAGGAGGAGGATTGTGTCCTGGAGGACTGTGGTGGTGTCCTCCTCTTCGACATCGGAGGGCAAGTCGTTGTCGGATTGGGCCATGCTTCCTGGCCTCTGCGCAGAAAAGGGCTTGGGCAGCAAAGGCTGTTCGCTCGCTTCTCCTCCTCCTCGTCCTCCTCCTTCTGGCCAGCTAGCTGGCTGCTCATCACACTGGCTGCGCTCTTTTCAAGGTGGGGGAGGGTCGTTGGGGCGTTTCCCGAAAGTCTTCCAGCAGAACCCTTTATGGCACCGAAGAAGAGGCCTCAGTGGGCCCACTGCCCGGAGGGCAAGCCGTGGGCGACATCAATGGTTGTGCCAGGACGTCGTCGTCGTCGTCGTGGTCGTCGTCGGCGTGGTCGTCGTCGGCGTCGTCGTCGGGGGGGGAGGGCGCCCAGCCGTGGCGACGAGGAGGGCCCCCGAGGGCCCAAAGGCCTCGATCCTCGAGGGTCGACCTTCGAACCTGGGCGTGAACCCTCCGCCGAGGAGGGATCTCGCAGGTGGATGAGGATCGGGGGGGGAAGGAGCAGCATCAGCAGAAGAAGGAATGCGGAATGCCACCACACGCCTCCTCTTCGGCAACGTTGCTGTCACTGCTGACGGGCCCCGCTCCTCAGTCTGTGTTCTCGCCGTCCTCCATATTAGTGTTACATGGCGGCTCCCATTGTTTCTTGCCCTTGTTCCCTCTGCTGCTGCTGCTCCCTCTGGTTCTTCTTATCCTCCAGATCCCCCTCCCACCACCCTGAACCTCCCTCGCCCGCCCTCCTCCCCTCCCCAATCCCCTCTCTCACCCCCTTCCACCGCCGACTCTTGATTCCCCGCTCCGCCTCTTCGTGCGGCGGAATCCGTCCGCGAGAAGGCTCCTCCATGCTCCCCGACGGAGCGGAGAGGCGGGGGGTGGGGGTAGCGCAAGGCCGCGCCCGAAAGAGTTATGATGAGGTTTTGAACCGTGGCACCTTTGGGCGACGATGGGGCCCATCGAGGGTTGGTCGACAGCCTGGACCCCAAACAGCGGAGCGCTGGCATCGACAGTGCCTACAGATGCATACATACATCTACAAATACATATACAGATGCCTAAGTACATATACAAATGCTTACAAACACATAGGCATACACATCTACATAACATGAGAAGGGGGAGAAGGGGGATGAGGTGGAGGAGGAGCAGGAGGAGGAGAAGGAGGAGGCTTATATACAGTTAAGCATGCATACATGTAGATGCGCGTGTGCTTACATGCACAGGTACGGATGGATGTATATATATATATATGTATATATGAATCCATCCATACACCTATATATACATCTATACATGTATGAATGTGTGCATATATGTATCTATTTATGAATATAAACATATATATATGTACATATATATGTGTGTGTGTGTGCGTGCAAGGAGGAGGAGGAGGAGGAGCTTGTGACCCCACCCCCCCGCCAGGCGAAGGGATTTCGTCGTCCGCACCTGCGGTCCCCGGAGGTCCCGACAACACAGTATTTTTCCGTAGCGCCCAGAGACCCGCGCGCAAAAAAGGAGGAGGAGGAGGAGGAGAAGGAGAGGGAGAAGGAGAAGGAGAGGAGGAGGTCCAACCCAGTTCAATAAGGCTCTTCTCTAAAAAACAGAAGGCTTGAGAGGCAAGAATGTTGCTGTGGGGCCCCTCAGGCCCCTCGCCAGGTGCGGTTACGACGCCATCGGTGCTATCATCGCTATGCCCCCCACGGACCTCCTACAAGTTCCCACCGCTGGATGTGGCCCCGACTATTGGGTATCTGGGACTTCTTGCAGGGTACTGAGGCCTGCCTACTGGCCCACAGGGACCTAATATTGCATCATGCCACGGTTTCGATCAGACAGGCTACCGCAGATGATGCAGCGTCCCACTGTGCCAAACTCGCGAAGGAGGTCTCAAGCACCTGGTCCAAACATCAATATGACGTTGTGTTTGCAAAGCTATGGGAAATGGGTATTGGATCGCAAAAGCGCCTCGCATCACGGGCCCTGCCTGCTATTGAGATGGAGGGGGGGGGGGGGCGGTGCCATGGCCACCAATCCAGTGGAGGCGGCGGACAGGTGGCTTCGCCATTTTGCAGATGAGGAGGTAGGGCTTGTCGTCTCAGTGCCAGAGGCCCGAGCGATTCAGCAACTGCTGCCTGCCTGACCGCCCAGCCGCACCAACGATATACCCCCGCGTGAAGCTTTCCTACCCACGAAGGCCTCCTTTCAGCGGCCTGCACAATTCAGGAGGGAAAAAACACACAGACACAATTAATCGTCGATTTCCCAGAACATATGGGAAACTATGAGAAGTGGGGGGGGGAGACAAAAACCTAGAACATATGGGAAAGTATGGGCAATCCTGTTAGTTGTGTATTTATTTGTGTGTTTGTGGGCCCCTTCAACAACGGCGAAGGCCTCAGCAGCTAGCCCAGATGGCATCCCAGGTGCGCTGCTCCGCCGATTTTTGGCCCGAGCATTGCCTCCCAGTGCTTTCCAGTGGTGATGAAGCCCATCTTTCGTGTGGAGGAGCCTTTGCAATGGAGAAAGGGGGGAAAGTACTGGAACATTTGGAAGCGAAAGGCCGATGCTGCGAAATGCAAGCATCACCGCTCGGTTATGAGATCCTCGCAGGTGGGTAAGAAGTACCGCCAACTGCTGCGTGCTCCCCTTGTGCAAGCACTTCCCAGGGAGGCAGGTGACTCACACACTACGGAGGGATTGAGGGGACGCATGCGGGCACACCCACTGGAACCTTCGGCGGAGCTCCCTATGGGGCTGTGGAACCGTGAGGGGCGTGCCGAAATGGGTGCGGCTGACGCATGCGGGCGTGGGCACTGGGGCCCGAGGAGTGGATTTAGCAGCACTAGCTATACGCTCGTTTCAAGAGCTGGCCACTGTTGCACGCACCTCTGCACTCTTTGTCATGATCGATGCAGTATCGGCTTTTTTACCGTGCGGTACGCGAGCTGGTACTTCAACTAGGCACCAATGACGATGACCTGTGCCGCATCCTCCGCGCCGCAGGACTACAGGAGACAGCAGTGGAATACCTCAAGGTCCACATAGCCACCAGCCCCACCCTCTTCGAATCCGCAAGGGTATCTCGACATGTCCGAACGCTGATTGCCGACATTTACCACTCGTCGTGGTTCTGGTATCCTGGGGCCTCCCCTGTCGCTTTCACACTGACAGGCGCAGTACCGGGACAACAACTGGAAGATGTGGTTTTCAACTATGCTATGTCTGCTTGTGCGAAGGAGGCCCAGGCGGGCCTACGCGAACTTGAACTGGACATCAGGGTCCCCATCAGCCTCCACAGCTGCCTCGCTCAGATGCTCACAGAAGAACCCGGCCGTATGTAGGGTGACCTACACATTTGTTTCTTCGATGACGGGGCCTTTGTGGTGTTGGGGTCCGCGCTGCACCTGGTACAGGTAGCTCCTAAGGTTGTGGAAGTTGTGGCGACCAATTTCGTGCGTCGGGGACTTCGTCTAAACTTCGCTGCGGGGAAGACGGATGTTCTCCTCCAATTTCGGTGCCCAGGATCCCGCACGGCCAAACACAAGCTATGGCATGACATGCAAGGGCGTTTCACTATCGACTCGCCTGTGCTGGGTCAATTCCCACTCTTAGCCGTGCGCAAGTACCCCCACCTAGGTACAGAACTGGACGAGCTCGCCTCCATATGACCCGAATTGGCACATAGGGACGCCTCCATTCAGAGCTTAGGCCGACAGCTACGAAGGCGGATCTTGGCAACCGATCATACCCTACCCAGGGTGGCGGTGCTGCATCTTACCGATACACTGCTTTTCTCGGGCGGCTTTGCTATTTAATGCAGGGACGTGGTCTCGACTGACCGATGCGCAGCACACACACACCTTCAGCACATCATGATCAACAAATACCACCAAGTGCTCCGCCTGCCCCAAGGTAAAGCTCAGGGTAACCCCGGAACCGACATGTATGTCCTGGCCAGTGCGCAACGCGCCACACTTGCCTCGGTTCTTCGGGTACATCGTCTGAGGCTTCTTGGGCGTCTGATACACCTCGGTACTACCACTCTACGGGAACTGGTCGCACATGTGTACCGCACAGCACGACAACAGCAACACACCACATGGTTATATCGGGTCCTAGACGATATGGACTGGCTACGCACAGTACATGTGAGATTCAAGGACATGCCCGA